GTAGGATTCAAAAGGAGAAAAGATATAACTGTAATCCTCAGCCTCGCTTGCTTTCGTGGCAAGATTTTTTTCAAATCTACTTGGATTACCTAGTTTTGAAACAGTAATATACTTCTTCATAAACGCGTGAAAGATAGGATCTCTTCGATAGGCGTGGCACATATTTTCTTATTATTTGAATCGAAATGGAATGATAACAAAACGGACGTTCACGGTGTAGCTTCATTAAAGGAATATCAGTTCATTTATTTGCTTGCATGATCACTTCCCCTCGTGAGATCCATTTATTTTCTCCCAAAAACAAAGTAAATTGCAAGTGGGAATTTCAAAAATTGGCGGTAGCCCTTTAAACTATAGAATCATTAAATTGGGACACTATTTAACTGTGCGGTGTGTGAGTTTACCACAGTTCAATTGTTGCACTTGAGGCATTCGCGTGTGTACGAATTTCGCTTCGTGAAACAGGAAGTAAAGTTTACTTACCGACATTGCCCAAGTACTCTGTGTCATCACCCAGTATGTGCGCCAGGCCAAAGTCTGCGACCTTGAGAGTGAGATTTTCTCCGACAAGTACATTGCTTGCACGTAAGTCGCGGTGGATGTAGTTCTGACGTTCCAAGTAGGACATACCATCTGAAACCTTAAGAAATGAAGAATACGAAGTAAAAGGCCTGTTCCTAATCTGCAGCTTGTTTAGCTACTAGAAAAGCATAATTGTCAGTGTGAATAGGCGAACGCTGGAACAAGATGTTTCGTATTCTCAGTCGACACTATCATCAATGACAGCCGCAGAAAATAGTAATCAGGGCACATGAGGCCTAGCATTTATAAGGGCACGGTTTCCAGATCATCAGACGCCTTCTGTCTCTGAAAGTATTCGCCCGCATCGCTGGAGGGTCATCAGTGATGCAAGAAACGTTTGTTTGTCCGCACCCGAGCCGTTAATCATCCTGATTTCATCATCGTTGTTTGGTCTTCGCACGACGATTACTCGGTAATTTAGTTCGATGTCAGTGTGACTGTTAGTCACTATCTCTCTCCCTGCACGGTTTGTAACTATTGTCCAAGCAAAATCGTAGCACAGAATTAAGAGAAGGAAGGTCATTTTGCTTGCTTATTGAATGTGGAACAGAGAACCCTGGCTAAAGCAGCTTGCGGCTCACGCGGTTGTAACCACTTGCGTGGATTTCGGCCTCATCATACTTGAAGGTGTAGCTGGGTCCCGTTGAATGAGCTGCGAGCTGGGAATTAGAGTCATTCCTCCTCACTGGTGTTGTCTGCTCGAATATCCGCGTTCGGAGTAGTCGCCCAGGTTTTGCGACGTGGCTGCTTTAATCGCAACTGCCTCAGATCCGGCAAAAGACTCTGGATGCTTCCTGCCATAGCAGGAACCTTTCTGCCTCATGACCTGGCGCGTGATGATTACCTATTACTCTTTTCTGTAACTGTTTCTGATGATGACTTCGACTGAGAATCCGAAAAATCAGGCTTATAAACTTCCTATTCCAGCAACCGCATCTTCTTCTTCTGACATACATATCGGAACTCGCCTACTTGCTTCTATCAGCAACTCTCAATAAGTGAGGTTTGAGAATGCCCCCAAATGTCAGGAAGAATGGCAGAAAAACGATGGTACCGAATTTCTCACCTAGCTTAAGATCTCGTTAGCTAACTTTTTTTAATTCTAGACATGCTAAGTACTCGTTTCTTGAGAGGGAGATGAAATCTTAATGCAAGTAAACGTGCCCCGATCATTGTCTTACCTGGACCATGAAGTCAATTAGTTGTTCATAGACTAATGGCTGGGCTTTACGACGCTGTATAAACGTTTTCAGGGAGCCGTACGCCATCAACTCGGTGACAATATAGGTCGGCATACAGCCAACTGCGTCGGAAACGGAGGTTGTAGTCTCAGCACTGCACACGCCCAGAAGTCGCGCAATGTGTGGATGC